CGCTGCTCTGACTCCACACACAAACACTGACCTGACTCCCCCTACACACACACACACTGCCCTGATTCCACACACACACACACCATACTGACTCCACACACACACACCACACTGACTCCACGCACACACACACAGACACACACACAGACACACACACACACACACACACAGCTCTCATCACTGGAGACACAGTCTGAGTGTGGAGTGCTGTGCCACTGTAGCACAGGATCCCTGTGCCGTTCTGATGCCACCTCGTAAGAGAGAAGGGCAGCACTGCCAGCTGGGGTAGAGGGCAGGACGGACAGCATGCCTCAGAGCTTGGCACCGCTACCTGTTTACTGTACCCTGCCAGCCTGCGCTCTGAAAACAAGTCCACGCTGGGACCAAGGTCTGCCCGCGAAGCCGCGTGCCAGGAATTCTGTAAACTCAGAGGTATGAGCTGAAGGTGGGTGAAGTCTGCACTGCTCCGGCGAAAAGGTCCGTGAACTGTATAGTTCTTGAACATGAAGGCCCTGATGTGAGTGAGCACAGCCTTCCAGCTCCAGTGGGATTCGGCCCATAATTCCTCACTGGATCACTCCCAGGAGTCTCTGCTGCAGGCTCCAACAACCTGTAAATGTTGTGTAGATGTCGGAGCGCGGAGGCGTGTGGCATTGAGCAGCTCTTGGAAAGTTCCCTTTACTACTAGAAAGGAGGGCATCCCAGTTCAGACGCCCCTGGAGTCTCTGGTTAATATTAACGCAGAGCTTTTCTGAGCCCGAGAGCATGATGCCAGACAGATCCGCAGGGTTGGACAGGAAAGTCCATCAATGTAAGCTCACTGTGATTTCAGTACAGGGCCCAGATCCACGCCGTGGTGCTCCTGTGTGGCTGAAGCAGGAAAGTTGGGCCAACAGCGTGCAGGTCGACAGCGCAGAGCCAGAGCTGGACACTGCAGGTGCCGGACTGGGCCATGTGATTACTCACGACCTCCCAGGTGACAGCCCACGCCTGGAGCATGGCCTGCTGCGATCTACAGCTGATCGGATATAAATGTGCCGAGACTGTTTGGCCCTTGTAGCCTGTTTGATAGTTAGTTAATTGGCCCCAAAATCCACCCATTTCTCGAAAAAAACAGTCAGAGTGTCATCTTCATAAACATCGCTGAGTAGCTTGTTCCACACTCCCACAGCCCTTTACGTAAAGATGTGTCTCCTGCTTTAAATGTTCAATGCTCTTCCCCTTTGCACTTTTCTAAATGCACTTGTGCACTTTCCACTTGTGTCCTCAGGTTTGAGGATGGTCAGTGCCCTTTGAGGATTGCGAAAACTTGAACCGCCTCCTCTTGTAATCTTCTCTGTTCAAGACTAAAAAGGTTCAGCTCCTTCAGCCTGTGTATCTGGTTGCTCTTCTCTGCACGGATTCCAGAGCAGCAGTCTCTTGTCAAGCGTGTGGTGACCAGCGTCGTACACAGCCCTCGAAATCAGCCCTCGATAGTGTGTTATACATCTCTCTAAATCCTACACTTCATCACTGACTGTCCTGACGTGGGTTTGCCTTTTTAAATGCTGCCCCACGCTGTCCAGAAGACGTAATCGACGGGTCAAGAAGACCCCTCGGTCTTTTTCATCAGGCTCAGAGGCTCCTGGTGAAAAAGAATGTTACAGACAGCAGAAGCAGTGGCCGGCTGGTGCTGTTCACCTGTACGACTGTGTTTGACCCAGGAGTATCGAGTTGGTTTTGAGAGCAGCTGTGTAGACCCAGGCCTGGCCCAGGCTGGCCTCGCTGGGCCGCCGGCGGTGCTGTTTTCCTCGGGGACCAGGGCAGGGAGCGGCGTGCTGTTTTGTGTACAGCCTTGGCCCCGGGTCCACGCGGCAGGGGGAGGCGAAGGCGGGGGAGTCTGGCCCGGGAACGAGGCCAAGTGGAACAGGGCAGTCCAGTGTCCAGCAGTCGCTGCGGGGCGTTTCACGGCCGCCGAGCTGGGGCCGGGCCAGCGCGTCCCGCGCTGAGTCAGCAGAGCTGGCCGACCCCCCCCCCCCCCCCAGCGCTGCCCCCCGTCCAGCCGAGCCCCGCTACCCAGAATCCCGGTCCCCATCCCGCTCCGGGCAGGACAGGGCTGTTCCAGGAAACTCCCCCCCGACCAGCTCCCCCTTCCAGGACCTCACCAGCCTGCACATGGCACGCGCGGGGTCAGAGTTCACTCCTGCAGGACCCCTGGGGCCCTCAGAGCCCGACTGGACCCCGAGCTAGCTGGTGGACTGACCTCTGTCCAGCCCTGAAAGCGCTCTGTTACTCCTGCACCTGGAGTTAGGAGCAACATGTGAAACGGTACAGCACGTGCTCACCCGAGCCGATACCTAGACCCCTACCGATAACGTAAGAGAGCAGCTTTAACTGGAAACGAGAGGGAGTCCAACTGGGAGGAGGTCATTTGGCCTTTATAGCTCATTGTGTTGCTGGTAGTTAGTTGACTGGAGGATCTTGCCCAACCCTGTGTTGAAGATACCAGGGTGTCGGGCTCAGCAACATGGAAGCACAGCTCGTCCCAGACGCCTCCGTTCTGTGCCACTCCTGCAGGTTAGGGTCAGCTCAGTCTGTCGTTTGCGCACGTGCAGTGAACTGCTTAATTACATGTAGGCCCCGATGCAAAGACATTGAGGGATCACCAGAACACAAACTCAGAACAGCAGCAGCAGCAACCACAGCTTAAATAACACACAACTTTAAAACAAGCAAGTCAGCACAAGCAGTGTGAGAGGGGAAAAAACACATCAGTGTGAGCCAGAGCCAGGGGAAGAGTTCAGTAATCTGACAGCCTGCGGGAAGAAACCGTCTCTGAATCTGGAGGTTCATCCCTTTATGCTCCTGTGAGGCTTACCAGAGGGAAGGGGGGAGAAAAATGAGAAACCAGGGTGATTGTTGTCCTTAGCGATTCTTCCAGCCTTCCTGAGACAGCCAGTTGTAGAAATGTCCACAGCAGAGGGGAGCTGTACTCCAGTGATGGACTGGGCTGACCTGACCACCCCCTGTGATCAGACAACGAGCTGCTGCCAGACCACACAGTGATGCCACACATGAGCACACTCTCAGCAGCGCACCTGTGAAATGTAGTAAGGACAGCTGAAGACAGGCTAATTTTTTCCACCTGTCGGAGGAAGTAAGGGCGCTGTTGTACCTTCTTTGTAGCTCCAGTTACATGCTGGGACCACGTTTAATCATTAGTAATGAAGGCACCCAGGAACTTGAATCTCTACAGCCACCCCACTGACATGAATAGGGGTGTGGTCCCCACCCTGCTTTCTAGACTCGCTGAGCAGCTCTTTGGTTTTGATGGCGTTGAGGGAGAGATTATTGTCAAGGCACTCGTAGATGGAGTTGGAGCTGTGTCTGGCCAGGCGATGGTGGCTCCACAAGGAGAACAGCAGGTGGCTAAGCACCCAGCTCCTATATCGAGGAAGAAAGCTTTCCATCGACCCTCACAGTCTGAGGGCTGCCAGTCAGGAAAACCATAGATAAGAGAGATCACTTTATTAGCCATATACAATTTCTTACATTAGGAATTGGTCTTTTCACATACCCCAACTTGCTCTCCATGAGACACACAGACGGAGAGAGAAGCTGGGGGTCAGAGCGCAGGGTCAGCCATTGTACAGCTCCCCTGGAGCAGTTGGGGTTAAGGGCCTTGCTCAGGGGCCCACCAGAGTAGCCTCCGCAGGATACAAACCAGCAACCTTCCAGCCACAGGCGCAGATCTTTAGCCACAGAGCCACCTATGCCCCCATAATCCAGCTGCATAGAGAGGGGCTGATACCCAGGACATTAAGCTTCCTGTCTAGTCTGGATGGAACTACAGATTTAAAGGCACATTTGGAATCAATGAATAGCGTTCTGACGTGTGTCTTTATCATCCGAATGAGCCAGGGCAGTGTGAAGAGCCAGGGAACCAGCGTGGCCAGTGGGCCTGTTACGCCGGTATGCAAACTGCAGGGGGCCTGTGCACTCGGGTACAATAGTGTTACTGTGCCTCATGACCAGCCTTTCCAAGCATTTCATTACGGCCGATGTGAGCGCTACCGCTCTGTAATCATTATAATAGGTCGCAGTATTTCTCTTTGGCACTGGTTTAATGGTGGTTTTCTTGAAACACACGGGAACGGAAGATTAAATATTTCACGGGAAGTGAAATATTAAAAATATCTGTAAAAACCGTGGCCAACTGGTCGGCACAGGACGGAAGGACCCGTCCGGGAACACTGTCCGGACCTGTCGCCTTCTGTACGTTCACCCGCCAGACGCCTCGCTCCTGCCTGGTTTGTGTAGGTCAGTCTGCGACATTTCTTGTAGGACCAGGCTGCGTATCTGTGATCTGGAAACGCCGTGTTGTTCTATTAAAGAAACAGCGATACGGTGTTCGTACGAACACTGGCGCCATCTGCTGGGCAATTCCGATACTGCAGAGTAGTAGCGTACCGCGCGTTTCCTAGAAGGATGAACTGCAGAAGCTCACGGATTAGCTGCTGTACGCACTCGTGCCGTACGCACAACTGGGATGACGGAAAGGGTCCTACGGTCTAACTGTGGTCCGCGTTTGGCAAGAGCATTCTTGTTAGAGCTCCGAAGTGTCAGTACAATATCGGAGTGTGTATGTTGAATTAAGATGTTTGTCTCTCATTCGAATAGTTCGAGATCCTCAGAGTACTTCCCAATGCGTAGTTTTCATGGGCTGCCTGTCGCGACGTAGCAAAGATTTTCAAAATATGGGAAGCGGCGGGGGCACTGGGCTAAGGAACTACAAACCCCGCTGTTGAAAACGACGTCATCAACATGTAACCAAACCGCCCCTCCGCTTCTTCCTACGTGGCGCTCGCTGCCGCCGGTGTGCCGAGGGCGCGCGTGCTCGCCGCGTGAGAAGCGGACCCTGCTGGCTCGCGCTCAGCCCTGCCGACCCGGACCGTGCGAGCGGGCTGAGAGGGGCCCGGCTCCACCCGGGGCAGCCGAGAGAAGCCCAGTTCAGCGCCCGCTCGCCCAGATGTTGGCTGCGCCTCTCGCCTCCCGAGGCTGTGACGGGGCGGCCGCGCTGCCCTCGTTTTAATCTGTTTTTAAACTCTGTTGTATTTTAACTGTAACGGCGATGAGTGTCGAGGAGGAGCACGACGACCTGTTCCCGGCGGACTGCCGCCTGTTCTCGGACTCGTTCTCGGAGGAGCGGGCGTACCGCTTCAGCGGGCAGGAGCTGCGGATCTGCCAGGAGTTCAGCGCCAGCCTCGGCGTGGCCGCTCCGGTCTGGGAGGCGGTGAGTGGGGGGCTGGGGGGTCACAACTGGGGACGCTGGCACTGAAAAACGGCTCCTTTAAAGTTAACCTGGATGAAATGACTGTATTGGTTTCTCGCTTTTCCTGCGGGTTTGCATGTTGGACCGTGGGAATACCGTTTCATCCCGAGATGGAAGTTCGCGCAGGGCAGTGCGGTGTTCCCGGGGACGGCCGCCTGCTTTAGCCCGGTCTGCCGGTAGGGGGCGTGTGTGGCACGTCTGCTTGCTTGCAGTCGATGCCTGAGCTGAGCCTGTTCCTGGTCTGTCTCTGCCCAGGCTCTCTGTCTGTGCCGGTACTTCGAGGAGCAGCAGTTCGACTTTGCCGGGAGGCGTGTGATTGAGCTCGGATCGGGGACTGGCATTGTGGGCATCCTGGCTGCTCGTCTGGGTAATACAACTCACTGTGCCTGCCTGAACCCCAACTCTGACCTTTCTCGAGCCCTTACCCCTCTCCTCCCTGACCCCAGCCTGACCCCTACTGTCTCCCTCGAACC